ATTTGGAAGAATAGCCAAAAGTGCCCATTGTGTCCTGAGAATAAATATTTGGGAGGTGGTGGTGAGGGCTGGGAGTCCCAGGAAAGACGCAGGAAGGAGAACTGACTGTGCGCCTCCGTCCCGGGACAGTCCCTCCTTACTCTGCTGGCCCGTGACATCCGAGGTAACGGGCGCTCCAGTACAGATTCTCTCCAAGTGATTTCTTAGTAAAATACCGCATTTTGAAGATGGGTGTTTTTAATCTTTAATGAATTTGCTCGCCTGGTTTCTAATTTTAGGCCAAATAAATTTTTTTCTAACCTTCATTGCTTCCATGAAAGTGTCTCTTTCTGAAGGAAAATTATTTTATTTTAGCAGCAATCCTTAATAATTTCTACAATTGCCTCTGAATATGGATCTTGGGCGGGGAGCTATTTTTATATTCCAAGTGATAGGATTTTAAGTACTACCCTGTTTCCCTGAAAATAAGACAGTGTCTTATATTAATTTTTGCTCCCAAAGATGCACTAGGTCTTATTTTCAGGAGATGTCTTATTTTTCCATGAAGAAGAATACGGTACACATTTATTGTTAAATGAAAATAAAGGAAATTTATTACCCGTATATGGTACGGTAGTACAGTAGTTGTCAACACAAACCAGACAAACTGTGAATCCTACAGTATCAAGAATTTACTCATTTATTCATTGACAATCATGTCATCATCTTCTGGAACATCATCATAACAATCCAATTCCTGCATTTCCTGGTGAATTTCTTGTGACTCCATTTCTTTCAGAATCAGTGGACCAAATCTCTCATGTTTAGCCTGGGGGGGATGCCTTATATTTCACTCAGAAGGAAACTGTAAGTAGGTCTTATTTTCAGAGGATGTCTTATTTTCGGAGAAACACGGTATTTCCTGGGCTTAGGCTAATTGGCAAACTTGAACGGGTGAATTAGATGGGACCCAGTGTGGTCGACCACGTCCTGAGTGTGCAGGTACCTAGCACACTGACTTCACCAGGGAAGGCCTGCTTCTGTGGTAGGTTAAATAAAAAAGCATGGCTTTAAATGATACATCCTCTTACCAAGAATAGCTTTAATTGCTTTAGATATAGAAGATAAGCCCTGGCCGGGTAGCTCAGTTGATTAGAGCATCATTCTGATATGCCAAGATTGCAAGTTTCATCCCCAGTCAGGGTATATATAAGAAGCAACCAGTGAATACGTAAATAAATACAACAACAAATCAATGTTTCTCTCTTCCTTTTTCTCTAGTTCCCTTCCCCTTTCGCTTCCTGTGTCTCTCAAATAAAAACAAAAAAAAAGGAAGATGAGAAAAGTTCAGTGTGCTAGCAACTACAATGTAACACGTGAATGTGAGAACACTTTGGGGAAGAAAAGCCCCCTTGGCTGGTGTGGCTCAGTTGGTTAGAGCATCATCCTGAGCACCAAAGGGTCATAGGTTCAATTCTTCAGTCAGAGCATGTGAAGGAGACAATTGATCAATGTTTCTCTCTCCCTCTCCTTTCCTCTCTCTCTAGAATTATGAAAATCATACCCACAGATGAGGATTTTTAAAAAAATTAAAGAAGTAAAACTATGGCTTCCACATCTCTAAAATAAGACCATCAGAACCCGGCCCTCATGGCTCAGTGGTGTAGTGCCGACTGCCGATCTGTGAACCAGGCAATCACAGTCCGAGTCCCAATCAGGGCACATGCCTGAGTTGTGGGCTAGATCCCCAGTAGGGGGTGTGTAGGAGGCAGCTGATCAATGATTTCCTCTAATCATTTATGTTTCTCTCTCTCCTCCTTTCCTCTCTTAAATCAATAAAAACATATTTAAAAAAAAATAAAATCAGGCCATCAGAGAAGCAGCCAAGATGTCCTTCAGCAAGTGAATGGATAAACTATAGTAGTACTAAAAGCATCTTGTTACTAAAAAATAAAATTATCCCAGACCATCAGCAATTTATCCTGTTTGTAGGCAGTATCTGGCTATAGAATATTTTTGCCAGATTTATATAGATGGCAGCAAATTACTGTGTGTGTGTGTGTGTGTGTGTGTGTGTGTACACATATACATACACTAGTGGCCCAGTGCATGAAATTCATGCACATTATAAGGGGATTAATTAGAGGAAATATTTTAATATTGCTCTGCCCTTTTTCTATAATAGAAGTGTCAGAGATGAAAGAAAATTAATAAAATGTATATGAAAATCTTCCTCCTGTCAGAGTCTGGGGAGCACCACGGAACTCAAAGTCAAGTCCCTGCCCAGCACATGTGCCTCAAAATCGTGTGAGACCCACACCTGGTTGCCCTCCCCCCACCCCCCTCCGCAATTGGGCTAGATTCAGACCCAGCTGGTCCCACCCTGTGAAACCTTGCCAAGTGGGAGGAGCGTCCTCAGGTCCCCTGGCCTGGATCCAGGACGGGGGGCATGGCCTGAGGTCCCGTCAAGCCCCATTGGGGCGGAGGGGGGGGGGAGGACAGCCTCAGGTCCCTGCTGATTGCTCATTAAGGCTCGTTAGGGAAACTTGGCCTCTGCTGTGGGTGCAGTCAACTTGTATTATGAAACCCCCGCTTCCAGTTTGGGTGCCATGGAGTGATGGTCAATTTGCATATTCCCTCTTTATTGTATAGGATATATATATATATATATATATATATATATATATATATATATGAGTTTGTGTGTGTGTGTGTGTGTGTGTGTGTGTGTGTGTAGTAATTTTCTTGTATCTTTGTCATCTTCTCTGATAAATATGCACTGTGGTATTCATACTAAATCCTACTCTTTTTTTCTTTTAATTGTCATTTATAGCTTTTAGAGAGAAAGACACAGAGGATGGGAGAGTGAAAGAGAAAGAGAGAGGGATTTGTTGTTTTACTTATTTACACACTCACTGGTTGATTCTTTTTTTTAAATTATTATTTTTTAATTATTTTTTTAAATAAGTTTTTATTGTTCATATTATTACAAATGTTCCTTTCCCCCCCACCCCACCATTGCTCTCCTCCACCAGGTTCCCACCCCACCCTCTGCCATTTCCCCACTCCCCATTGTCCTCATCCATAGGTGCACAGTTTATGTTCAGTCTCTTCCCACATCCCCCTCACCCCTTTTCTCCAAGAATCGTCAGTTTACTCCCCTTCCATACCTCTGATTCTATTATATTCCACAGTTAATATTGTTCATCAGATTTTTTTTTTTTTAATTTCCTTGGTTTTTAGATTCACTTGTTGATAGTTACGTATTTGTTGTTCATAATTTTTATCTTTATTTATTTTCTCTTCTGAAAGAACCCCCTTCAGCAATTCATATAATTCTGGTTTGGTGTTGATGAACTCCTTTAGCTTTTTTTTATTAGTGAAGCTCTTTATCTGACCTTCGATTCTGAGTGATAGCTTTGCTGGGTAGATTATCTTTGGCTGTAGGTTTTACTATTCATCACCTTGAATATTTCTTGCCATTCCCATCTGGCCTGCATGGTTTCTGTTGAGAAGTCAGCTGACAATCGTATAGGTGCTCCTTTATAGGTAACTACCTTCTTTGCTCTTGCTGCTTTTAATATTCTCTCTTTGTCTTTTGCTCTTGGAATTTTAATTATGATGTGTCTTGGTGTGGTCCTCTTTGGATTCCTTTTGTTTGGAGTTCTGTGCGCTTCCTGGACTTGTAAGTCTAATTCTTTCACCAGGTGGGGGAAGTTTTCTGTCACTATTTCTTTCAGTATGTTTTTGATATCTTACTCTCTCTCATCTTCTGAGACCCCCATAATTCTGATGTTGGTTCGCTTGAAGTTGTCCCAGAGGTTTCTTACATTATCTTCAATTTTCTGGATTCTCTTGCCTTTTAGCTTCTGTGGAGGAGTGTCTTCTGGCTCTTTATGTTCCAAATCTTTGACTTGATTCTTGCGATCTTCCATTCTGTTTTTAGGACTCTGTATAATATTTTTTATTTCAGACAATGTATTCTTTATTTCTTGTTGATCCCTTATCATTTCTTGTTGATTCCTTATTAATTCTAGTTGATCCCTTTTCATATCCTCATAGGTCTTATCCATCTTTTCTAGGAAATCCTTGAAAAACCTTATAAGCATAGATTTGAATTCTATATCCAGTCGCTTTTTGTCCTCCATTTCTTTCGTTTGTGATCTATTTCGTTGTCGCATTTCGCAGCTACAGATGGGGCGGGGTTTCAGGGTGGAGCCTATAGCCTTGGCTTCCGTCAGCCCCGCCCTATGCGGCTCCTGGGTCTCAGGGTCCTTCAGTACTTGTTGCAAGCGCCTCTGAGAGAAAGGTGTCCTCGATTTTCGCCTGCTGCCAAACAGTCTATGCTCTCCCCCAATGAGCCCGGTATTGGGGTTCAGTTCAGTTGGAAGTGGAGTTGGAGGTGGCGTTCAGAGCAGTCTGGAGCCCCTGTCTCCTTCCGGCCAGGGCAATCCCGCGGCACAGCCAACCGTCCCTTCTCTGCGCGCAATGTGCACGCCGCCGGGACCCCCTTTCGCCGCTCCCCCGGGGTTCCGCCTTGCAGCCCAGCTCCCTCTGGATGAGCCTGGGTCCCCGGGGTCTGGCCTAGAACTGGGGTTCAGAGCAGTCGGAACAGGGGCCCAACACAGTCGGAGTTTTATCTCCTTCCCCCTAGGGAACGCCAGCCAGGCACTCAGCCTCCGTCCTCTCCGCGCGCCGCGTGTCTCCGTACCTCAGGCTTTTCCAGCTCCCCCACGCTTCCTTCTGACTTTCTCCTTGCTTCTCGTTGTAGAATTTCCAGTCAGTCGACTTTCCTGTAGTTCTGGATAATGTCCATTTATATTTTAGTTGTATTTTATTGAAATTGTTGTGTGCGGCTGCAGCTAGGTGTTTACCTGGGCGAAGCCATCTTGGATTCCCTGGTTGATTCTTATATGTTCCCTGAACAGAATCAAACTCTTAACTTTGGCTCTCACCAACTGAGCTCCCCAGCCAGGGCCGTGAAATCCTGCTCCTAATCCTTCTTGTCTCCCTCTCTCCAGTGACTGCTGGCGTGTCAGCCTTGGAGGTGTACACCCCGAAAGAAATCTACGTGGCAAACGGGACACAAGGGAAGCTGCCGTGCAAGTTCAAGTCTTCGAACACCACCAGCCGGCTGACCACCATCTCCTGGAGCTTCCAGCCGGAGGGATCCCACACCACCGTGTCGGTAAGAGCGCCTGCCTGCTCTTGGCTAGCCCTGCCTCAGAGGGTTCCCGCCGCCTCAGAGGGTTCCCGCCGCCGCAGGGCGTTCGTGAGCCCTTCTTCTGACCCATCTCTTCCCAACAGAGCGAGGCTGCCGTCTGGTACAGACCTCAGGGCGCCGCTCTTGCTCCCGCCTCTCCAGGAAAGAACCAGTTCAGTTTCTCTTAAATGCAGCTTGTTTTCTCGTGTTTGTGTGTCACAGTCACCTGCCAGCCCTCCCGCCTCCACCATCACTCCCTGATTTACCTTGTTGACTCTAATCACAATTCATTCTGCATCCGTTCAGCTGCCATTTGTATTTCTTTTAAATATTTCTACACACATGTGCACACACACACACGCATGCACACGCACACACACACGTCCATCCGTTCCAGTGACAGTCTGTGGGAGCTCTCTGTGCAGCCAGAAATGAGGGATAGCAGCCTGTGCCCTCACCCCAGAAACAAGCAGGAGTAAGACTGTCGATGAGTCACCTGAGGAGGTGGCAGAACAGAAGCGCAGGGCCGTGGGGTTGAAAGGAAGGTTAGTCACGGGCCAGAGGAGTGCTGGCAGGCTGGGTGCTTATTACCCAGGGCGCGCCGCCCGCCTCTGGCCTGTGGAGTGGAGGCTGGAGACCGTGCACAGGGAGGGAGAGCTTGGGGTGAAGACCGTTCATCTCTAGCCAGCGAGTCACAGGATGAGCCTCACGTCCTCCTCCGTGACTCTCTGTGGGACCGTTATCAGCCGTGACCCCGAGGAAATGGCCTGGGTCTCCCTTTGTGTATAAATTATGCGGGGTTGTCCCTGTAGCACCGGATGTTGAGAGGAAGAGAGAAGACACACAAGTGTGTTTTTCCACAGGAACAGAACGGAACCCCTTGATTTCCAGATCCCTGTCTGCGTAGATCCCGTGGCATGTGCAGGGGGACGTGCTTCTTTCCCTGTGACGGCTCAGTGAAGAGCCGCTCAGCACGCCGTGCAGCGTTGAGAACTCGTGCCTTCGGGAAGAGCTCACGTGTCCTTTTTCTCTAATTGCAGTTTTTCCACTACTCCCAAGGGCAAGTGTACATCGGGGACTACCCGCCGTTCAAGGACAGGATCACCTGGGCTGGAGACCTCGACAAGAAAGACGCATCGATCAACATAGAAAACATACAGTTTATCCATAACGGCACCTACATCTGTGACGTCAAAAACCCGCCCGACATCGTCGTGTACCCGGGATACATCCGCCTCTATGTGGTAGAGAAAGGTACCTCCGGGGCACTCGGGCAGCAATGACGCAGTCCCCTTTGTCACTTGTTGAGTGGCAGACGAGAGTTACATTGCGGATGTGTGTGCTGTGCTCCCTGTTCCTGGGAACCTGAGGGTGGGCACTGCTGCCCACATGGGGGGTGAGCAGCCGGCCTCTCCATGTGCCCATCTGCCGTCCAAAGCCTCCTGGCCCGGTTTCAGGATACTTTCCCACGTGAATTGGAAGTAAGACCAGATTCACGACAGTCGATGGGCTGAGCTGGGGAAAGAAGGAGGTTAATACTGTTTCAGTATTCTCCGAGAGAAAGTGTTAGCATTCGTAAAAACAACACCACGGTTTCTTCCACTTTTGGAGAAGCAGCAGGAAATGCAGGTTCTGGTGTCTCCTTTTGAGACGATGTCTGCTTTGTTGGTGAGTAGATGGAGGGGAAGCCACAGCCCAGTTCTGCTTGGATCTTAGCGCATTGAGAGGGATGGTGTGTGCAGAAATGCTGAGTTCTGCATCTCTTTTTCTATCAGCTGCTCTTTGCCTGTCATTACTTAGATACTCGGATCTCATAATCTGGATAATAACAGAGGGTATGATAACTTGCCTCTTAGTTGAATAACATTCCTTTTCTTCTCTGTCACAATGGACCTTAACACTGTTTTCTTCTTTCTCTCCAGAGGCGTTGCCCATGTTTCCGGTGTGGGTGGTGGTGGGGATAGTGACGGCTGTGGTTGTGGGTCTCACCCTCCTCATCAGCATGATCCTGGCTGTCCTCTACAGAAGGAGAAGCTCGAAGCCGGAGTACGCCGGGTGAGAAACTGCTTCTGGGGAGGGCAGAGGGAAGGGACCGGGGTTTACAAAAACGTCTGCATTTTTTATGGAGAAAAGAATTGTGAAGAGATAGCTACTGTCTGCTTAGGTGCTCTGAAACAGTGGCCTGCTGGTCAGTGTGGGATTTGACGCGAATTCCTGTTTCCCAGTTTCTTCCCCAGATTTGGTGCAGCCAGTGGCTCCGCAGTCTGGGCTCTGTTTCAGTGCCAGCCACTCTGCCAGTGGCACTATTAAACCACAGACATCACTTACCCAGTTTCGGAGTTAAATGTTATCTCTTGGCAATAATCTCATAAGGAGCTTCTTTTCAGTTAGGCAGCTATAAATGAATCAAGAAGAGTTGTGCTAATAAACGACCCCCCACCCCCATGGGATGGCACAGGGCTTCTCTTTTTTATAGTTTTGCTGGCAAGTGAATGGCTTTGGTCTTTCTTGAATGTATGGCTGGACTCATCGCAATGGAGATAATAAGGGTTGAAAACCAACATATACCGGCAGTAAAGAAACGTAGATCTTTTTGTTTATGTCTTCTCAAAGAGAACACTCTTGAACTTGGGGAGTGAGTCTAATTGCAGGACCTTCTCTTCTCCCCACGCCAGCTGGAAAGCTAACCCACATAAGCTAAGTAGGACTCACGTGGTAAGAGAGTGGAGGCCGATTGCTAACACTAGTTTGGCCACAGGTGCATGGGCTAACCACAGCCACCCAGAGGGCCTGTGCTCTGAGGCTTGCACACCCAACTGCCTGCCTGGTGGATGCTGGGAACCTTCTTTCTCTCTCTCTCTCTCTCTCTCTCTCTCTCTCTCTCTCTCTCTCTGGGCTCTGAGGTTCTAGTTTTTAGGAGGAGTGCTGTGTTTTAATGAGCTTGAGTGTTCAAATTCAGATTTTACTTGCTTGGAATGCCTCCGTTCTGCTGACCTGTATCTACCCTCTTGCATGGTGAGTGGTTTTCGGTGTTGGATGTTGGTTTTCATCATGAGACTAATCCAGAGTGGTGACATGCCGGACTCTGTCGTTCTTGCTCTTGGGTTAATAAAGGGGCGGAGCGTGTGCCTTAGAATCCTGCATGGCATCGTGAATGCTGCTGTTCTTCTCACTTAGGTTCCCCTCCCCTGCCTTTCCACCTGTGCCGGGATAGAGCCTGCTTATCCTCCACTTGTTCAGAAAAGCCGACCCTGGGACTGTCACAGGGCTGGCTCTCCTACTCCCGCTAGACACATGGTAACTAATCCCATTGCCCGTTGCTGTTAATCCTCGTGTGTGTGTTTGGCCCATCTCCCTTGGTGGCAACTAACCAGCTAGCTCTGAGCTAACCCAGCAGCTGTTATGATTTGTCCACCGATATGTCCTATGTCCGTTTTAGAAACATACTGAGCACACCATCCCAGTGAGATGGGGTTGTCAGGTTACATGGAGGCTTGAGATCATCGGAAAATACACGTTCTTCCTGTAAAATGCATGTGTGTGTGTGTGTGTGTGCGCGCCCACGCGCGTGTGTTTCAGTTTTTTTTATATGTGATTTTATTATTAATGATTGGGACACTCTTTGTGTTAGAATAGTCAAACCATTTTGGTTTGGGTCATAAAACCTCCTGTTTCAGAGACGCACAGTAGAGAATTCATTGGATGCTTTAGTCTTAAGAGTAATACTTAAAATGGGATCTTCCCAAAAATTCCTCTAAGATTTAGAAAACACGTCATAAAGGATTTAAGCTCTGCCAATGACCATCCCATTAGGAAATCTCTAATGAGTTACCTCCCAGCACTCACTTTCCCTGATTTATTTATGAGATCCGCTTGCTAAGGATCCTCTGCCTGGAAGGGTTCAGCTGTGTGATGGGCATCCCACAGCTTCCTGTGGCTCACAGCGCCCTGGGTCTGCTTTAGTTTGGCCATTGTCTTGGTGGGGAAACAAAATATGGAACCAGGAATGGAAGGAATGAGACAAACCAAGACTCTGAGCCTGTAATTTTTGAAATGCATTCAGAAGAGGTTTGCCTTTGCTGCTCACGAAAAGCGAATTGCCTTTAGGAAGTATAGCTAGCTGCTCCCTTAAATCTTTATCCCAAAGGAGGGCTGATGGCAGAGGGAAAAGGCGAGGGGCCAAGCATACACAGCAAGGATCCATCCAGCTGATGTCGCTCTTGCAAACAGGCCGAGGGCTGCCACTCCCCGGCGGGAGCTTCACAGATGTGGAAGCACAAGCATCAGGGAGACAGTTTCTATATATGTGATCCTTTGGATACCATCGTTTTGTTGTTCTGTTCATATTCATCTGCTGCCACTTTGTCTTGCCATCGCTTGCATTTCTGTATTTTGGTTTCCATTTGTTTAAAAACATTTTTTTTTTTTACGTTTGTTCTCCAAATTGCCATCTTATCAGCTGCAGCACCTCAGAAAGTGTGTCACCGGTTAAGCAGGCTCCACGGAAGTTCCCCTCCGCCACAGAGGGCCTAGTAAAGAGCCTGCCTTCTGGATCTCACCAGGTAACACTGGCTGCCCGGGCTGTGCAGGTGGCAGTGCCACCATCCTGGGGCGGGAGGGAGTGCTGAGCCGCGACCCAGGGAAAGAGTGGCAGCCAGACAGACAGACAGACAGATGGAGACGGAGAGAGAGAAAGGAGTTAAGGAATCGGACCTGAGCGAAGGTCCCACCAAAGCACCACTAACAGACTGTGCCCTTGGGATGTGGCTCCCATGGCCAACGTAGATTCAGGAGGTGGCTTTGTCAGCCATGAAAGGTTCCTTAGTTGCTCAGGGAACTAAAGCCAGTGAATTGAATTCCACTCTGAGGTGCTTTAAAAGACAAGGAATTAGCAGAGGACATTGATCTTGATATTGATAATAGCAGAAAAATCGTTTTGCATGGATTCTTTAGAAGTTGTAGGTCGGCCCATAGCTGAATAATGAGTTGGCCCCGTGAACAAGCGGAGGCTTACCCTGCTCCTCGTAGGGAGTACCAAGAAACATAACTTCGTTGGAACCTGCACAGCACCCAGCGCTGTGGTGGTGGCAGGCCGGCTGTAATAACTGTGACTGTGGCGGAGATCCCAAGCAGCCTGATTGGAATCTCAGGAGGAAAGGGGAGAGAAAAAAACGTTGAAGAAGTCATAGCCAAACACTCTCCATCTTTCAGCCACTTCTTCTGGTATTTATCTTCATATTGTATTTCTATTTCTAGAGTTTGCCGTTTTAGATACTATTCATTGACTCCAAATCATGGAAATGAGAATTGAGTTCTTTCTTCCCCGTAGCCCTTCCTCCCAACACGCATGTATCTACGGTATGCACACTTGCCTCTTCCCAGGATGCTTATCTCACTGTATTGAGGTAGATGTTTTTCAGTGTGACGTGTACTGTTGTTTTCACCATTGTACCACATATATTTGTTTCATGTACAATTGTCCTATTTTTATGGAGCTAATATGTGCCTTTTTTAATTTGTTCAGTCTTCCAAGTACCTATCCGCATCTATCTCAAAGCTCTCCCCTAAAATCCCTTGGGAACATCCATCCACCACACACACATGCTCCTGTGGTTTCATTTTCTTCCTGGAGACGGGCCTGTCCGCACCGCTGGCTCTGTGTGCTTCGGGCTGCCGGCCGCAGTCCTTCTGGGCCCCCCTCCCGAGGAATTTCCTGGCCCCTCTCCTTTGGGACCGCGTGCCTTCACCTGCTTTGTTTGTTCCCATGTTGTGGTGGAGCATTTCCTCCGTACTGCTTGAGAAAAGGAGATAAAGATTCTGAGGCAGCGCAATAACCTCCAAAATGTCCACGTCCTTGCCCTGGGGCCTGTGGGGTGTATGACCTCACCGGTCTGAAGGGCCTTACAGCTGAGTTAAGGATCTTGCGATGGGGAGATTTTCCTGAGTGATCTGTGTGGGCCCAGGTGACCACCGGGAGGCCGCAGGGTCAGATCCAGTGCGATTTGAAGAGGTGATGCTCTTGGCTTTGACAATGGAGGCTGGGCCAAGAGCCAGGGAATGCAGGCAGCTCCCATCTGCTGGGAGGGGAAGGAGACAGGTCTTCCCTGAAGCTCTGGCGGCGGGATCATAGCCCTGATGACCTTGATCACATGCAGCCCCGGGTCAGCCCTCTGACGTCCAGCACTGGGAGCTGATGCATCTGTTTGCAGCAGGTGTAATGTGGTTTCTCCTGCCTCGAGCTTGAGTGAGGATCTGGTTGCGTCGATTCTAGGTGGGAAGACACTTCTCTTCTGCCTTTGGCTGACTTTTCCGCTTCTAGTTCTGATTTCTGCCTCTTCGCGGGCCCTTCCTCAGAATGGCTTTTATTCCTCATGGTCTGGAACTGCACAGAATTGTGGGTCTTTTTTAATCATTGTGCTGGCTATTCAGTGGGTTCTTTTAACCCGAAAACTATGTCCTTCGGTTTTAGGATATTTTCTCCCATTATTCTCTGGAAATTTTCCTCTTTCCTTTTTCTCTCTTTTGGAAATTCCTGTTAAGAATTGGACCATGTCCTACCTCAGTTCTTTAGTTTTGTGGGGTTTTTTTCCTTTTTTCTGTTTTGCTTTTTTTGTTCTTTCTAGAAAATTTCTCTAACTTTACCCTCCAGCTTTTGTTGAGCATTTAATATCTGCTATCTTTTTAAAATATCTGCAAGAGCTACTTTTGGGGACTGCAAAAATAAATCTGGATGTTTATTTGGGGGGGAGAGGGATAGAAAAGAAAGCAGCCCCTATCCCTCGCCCTCCTCAGTGGCAGCTTCCTGTTCCGTAGGGTTAAGGAAGATTTGAGGGAAATAAAAGTTGTTGGAAATCCAGGTGTAGTTGCTTTATGTGCTGTGGCGGTCGAAGCGTGGAGTGCGTGTGAAGGCCCCGCACACCCTCCACCTTGCCTCAGACCGTGTCCGGGAACTGGGGCCCGGAGAGCGCCACCTTCCTTCCTCCTCTGGAGCCCCAGGCAGGAAGAGCCACACGCCCGGATGGCGGGTGGCGAGCTGCATCTGTGGCGTCCTAAATGCCATCTCAAGAGCTGTTTCTTATTCTCTGATTATAGTGCCTGCATTTGTTTTCATAGATGCATTTCGTATCTCTTTGAGTATATCATTCTCTCGTGTTTTGCAAGCTCTACTTTTTAAAGCTTGCTTCTGATACTGACTAGGCTCTGTTTCTGTTGAATTCCCCTTTTCTCTTACAATTTCTTGGTCTCATGTCAGAAGCTTCCTGAAATGCCCGGCGGTTCTGGGTTCTCCACTCAGAGCCGCGGCCGCAGATCTGAGCCGGGCTCTGGGCCGGGGCTTCGCCGTTGAAAGGGCTGGCCAGCTGCTTGGGGCCTCCTTTCTCTGAAGCTGGTTGGTGTCTCCACAGGGAGGTGAGCAGAGGGGAGAGGCTCACTGTTCAGGTCATGAACTTGCCCGCCGCAGCCTGTGTTCGGGGCCGACCCCTCCCCCTGCCGGTCCGTGGCCCCTGAGTCAGGACTGGCTCACTCCCGGCGCTGTCCCTGCCCGCCCAGGCCTGCCTCTGGCGCTTTCTGGAGGGCGGTGAGAAGTGGGTCAGCCCCGTGTCAATTCCTTGTCTCTCTTCAGCATTTGTCATGGACACCAGAGCGGAGTAGAAAGGATTCGTAGCCATTTTTACGGCGTGTCTCATGTATAAGCTCCTTCTCCCAGGAGCACACCCCAAAACTCCTGTGGGTCTTTATGAATTACGGTGGGGTTGTTCTCTGGGAAGTTACATATGAGTTTCAGGGTCTGTCCTGTCCTTGGAAGTGACTGCAAGCAGGGGTCAGTTACTCGCAAGAGAACGTTTTGTTTTCCTTCTGGTCCTCGTTCTGTTTCCTTCTGGTCCCTGGAACAATGCTGTGCAGTGGACAACCTGCATACAACTTTGACTCCTCCAACTGCTCCCAATCTGCTGTCTGTGACTGTGTGTGCCTTATGGCGGTAAATGCAAAATAGACCAGCATCCACACATGCTCCATGCATTCGTGCCATACCCTTTCCTTAAAATTTTTCAATATTTCTAGGCTACTCCATTCCCCTGTGTGGTTTTCCAAAGAGACACAAATCTCCAAAAACACTTTCCAGGATATTATTAAGAAAAATGTTTATATAAGTCGACCCACGCAGTACAAACCCGACACGTTCAAGGGTCAGCTGTGGTAGAAAATAGGTTGTGTGTTTTTCAACTTCTTTTCCCTTTGGGCTTACATGTAACTTGCAGCTTCCTGGCATGAATGTAGAGAGTCTCTGACTCAGTATTAACAATGTGATGTGATATTACCTACGACAGATATGAGAGCATCACTTACCAACCAGAGAGACAGAGAGAGAGAGACAGAGAGACAGAGAGAGAGAGAGAGAGAGATCTGTCTGTTGTTGCACTTATTGATGCAGTCATTGGTTGCTTCTTGTGTGTGCCCTGACCAGGGATTGAACCCAAAACCTTAATGTCATCAGGACGATGCTCTTCCTGGCCAGGGCAAAGATGTTTATTTTAAACTACACGCTTTTAGCTGCTGAGCGTATTAGTTCAAAGTTGAAAGCTTAAGTACAAAGTCAGACTTCTCCAGGAGACTGTCGCTGGCTCGCAGGCAGTTGGCTTTGGGCTCTATTGAACGCGTCTTCTGAAACCAGGCCTCTTCTGCTTTTCTTGTTGCTGTTTATAATTTTAGAATCTCTGGGACTCTAAGGTCAGGATGTGCAGCCACTTGTCAGATGTTTGAACTCCTGGCCTTGCCCCCATGAGTCAAAAGACACCCCCCTGCCTCAGGCAGCCCCCCTTCCCTAGCTTTCCTGCTCTACCTAGCTCTCATCTCCTACCTCAGATATCTAGGGTTTCTTGTCTATAGAACCTGACTTATTTTTTTTTTTTACTTTAAAATGGGAAAAACAGTTACGTGATCTTAGATATCAAAGAAGCAATATTTTTATTAATATGATAGGATGAGACTAAAAGGATCATACTTTAAGATGCTATGTGGAAGAATATTGAAGTGGAATACTACTCAGCCATAAAAGTAAAGGAAATCTTACCCCTTGAGACACCATGGATGGATCTGAAGAGTATTATGCTAAGTGAAATGAGTCAAATACCATATAATTTCACTTATATGTAGAATCTCATGAACAAAATAAATGAACAAACAAATTAGAAATAAACTCATAGATACAGAGACTCACTGACAGCTGTCAGGGGGGCGGGAGAGGGTGAAAAACCACAAAAAACCTCATAGACAGTCAACGGTGCGGTGATTCCCAGAGGAAGGGGAGATTGGGGGAAGTAGAGAGGGTAAAGGGGGTCTAAATGGTGATAGAAGGAAACTTGGGGTGATAAACACACAGTATACAGGTGATGTGTTATAGGATTGTACCCCTGGAACCTATATTATTATATTAACCAGTGTCACCCCAATAGATTCAATTTAAAAACCCTAAAAATGCTCACACGCAAAAAAAGAAAATTTGAAAATTATAAGTGTCTATTTGCATGAAGTGACCAGTTCAGATTGTGTCTGTGGGTTAGTTTCTTAGCTGCATCCTGACTCCAAGGGGTCTCGGGTTCGAGGAAGTGCCCATGTTAGTCCCGAAGACTGTGATCCCAATACGAGGGTTGAGGAATTGTGTGACAGGTCTTTTAAGAGAGGGATAATTCTTGAGAAGGAGTGTTGCATGATTATAGACATTCCCAATGGACGCAGAAGTAGACAGAGCAGTGTACCCGCTCTCGTGTACCAGCTTTCACAGTGGCCGCCAGTCTGTGTTAAAGTCGCTCTGGGACGCGGGTTCCCGGGAAGCCTTCCTGAAGGCATTCTAAGGAGGGAGCTGTGCCCTGGGACTGCCGCTGTCACCTCAGTCACCGCCTCTGCCTCCACCGGGAGTTCCAGACCTAACGCAGCCTCTCTCCGCCAGGGCCCAGTCATATACGCGCAGCTAGACCACTCCGGCGGACATCACAGTGACAAGATCAACAAGTCAGAGTCTGTGGTGTACGCGGACATCCGGAAAAATTAAGAGAAGACCCAGATCATATCCTAAGTGAGAAACAAACTCAAATGGACTCCTATGCAGCAGTGTGGCCCACGGCACGTGGCCCGGACACAGACAGGCCGGAGAGGAGGCGCTGTAAAGGATATGTATAAATCTTCTATTTAATCTCGGATGGGAGGAGCAGTGGTGCATGAAGAAAAGATGATATGATTCCACATATATGTACATTGTCTCGCTGTTTGTTGTTTTGTTTTTTACTTTTTTGCATCCGGGGTCATTTACAGTTGGGGAAATTCAGCAACATTCCTGTCACCATCATTTGGATATGGTGTGCCTTAACGGTGATGTAGCGATCTCTTAGTATCCCAGCAGACTTGGCCTTTTTGTCTAAGGGCTTAACCAGTCTTAGCATTTATTGTAGTTGGAGGTGAAGATACTGTGCGGGAGACATAGCCAGGGTGGCCTGTCTCCCACTGTCTGTCCCGGCTGTTTGGTTGTAGTTTTTAGGAAACACCTGTTAGCTATGCCACTTGGAGACAATTTGAGAAATGTCTGTCGATGTTTTTTTCTCTCTAAAGCAGGGGTGGGGAACCTTTTTCCTGCCAAGGGCCACTTGGATGTTTTGTAGTATCATTCTTGAGCCAGACAGAATTATAAACTTAAAAATCAGTCTGCTGTATTTGGTCAAACATTTAATTCACTCACCCCGATGCCTTTTGCAAGCTTACACGGCCCTTGGGTTGAAGGTTCCCCACCCCTGCTCTGAAGCAAAGGGCATTTTTGCTTCCTCAGTTGTCACACAGACTTTAAGGTTACACCCTTTCCTGTCAGCTTGTTCATCACAGCAGGATCAGCAGGGGTAGCTGCTGGGCCAGTCCTCCTCAGTCCCTCAGGCCAGAGCCCTGTGCATGGAACTGAAATAGGAGCTGGGGCCTGGGGCGGAGCTGGCGGCCTGGGGCGGAGCTGGGGGCCTGGGGCGGAGAGCTCAGGTGTCAGTTACCTCCTGTGCTGCTGGAATCCAGCCGGAGTTCACTTCCTTGCAGGTGGGCAGGAATGGGGTACATGGAACCTCCGTCCCAGAAAACTGTCCGAAAACAGAATCATCTTTTCCCATAGAAATCACGTAAACTGAATTGGTCCACTCCAGACCCCTAAATGATCCCTGTTTTAAGATTCTTATATACAGTACATGTCTAGTGCACTGTTTAATTTATAAATAAACACTTTTGAACAAAAAGGGCATGAATGTAACTGACAATTTAACAAAAAGGAGATGAATCGTACCGTAAAAAATGAAAACATAACAATAAGCAGCAAAAAAAAAAATACACACACACACACACACACGCAAAAAAAAACAACCTATGAAAAGACTCACAGGATGAATCTATATCAGGACCAGGATGTTAACGACGTGAGGTTTAGGGGTAAACGAACTCAGACTCTCCCATCCTCTCCTTTGTCCTCCGCCTGAGAGGCACGTGAGGGATCACACAGGTTTCAGCAGGACAGGGTTGCCAGTTGAGATGTGAATTGTTGAGGACAGGAGCTCCCGAGAGGTGAGGCGAGGCAAGGAGAGGCGAGGCGAGCGTTGGCTGTAACTGGAGAGCCAGCTGGGATCCCAGAGCACTCCCCAGGGAATTGGCTCTGATCAGCAAGGAGGGCTCCTACTTCTCCTTTGGAATCTCTTCTCTGTTCTGGATGCTTTTGTTTGTTTGCCACATTTCCCCCATCGATGGAATTGATGAACAACCAGATGAGGAAAAATCCAGATAGTTCAGGTCATTTATTTTGTCCCTTCGACAACCCCTCCCCATCTCAAAACTATGATTTCTGTGATTACTTGGGATAAAAAGCAAACTGAGATCATTAAACATTTATTTATATTTACCATTCCTCCACTTCCTGGATTCTTTTGTGTTAAAATAAGTGTTTTAAATCTGAAGTGATCGGAGAGCCCACAGTGGGGGAGGTCACAGGACGTGTGTGGGGAGTGGCGGGCACCGTTCATTCCCCCCGTGGTGTGGGGTCCACTACCAGCTGCTTCCTCTTCCTTCCGGCTTCTGTCGCTGTCGGGAGGCAGTTTGGCCGGGTGCCAGGAGGCCTGAAGCGAGTCCAGCAGGGTTTGGGGGAAAGGTGTGGAGGTGATCAGATGGGAGCAGACACGTGAGCCTCCATGCGTGCCTGCAGATGTGTGGCCTGGTTTTCCGAGGAGCTGCTGGTTCTCCCCAGTGTCCAGCCAACTTTCATGTACATATCGCACGCGGGGAGGGCTTTGTATCACGCCACACCCTCTGTCCGTGTCCAGGGGCTGGCGGCTGTGGTCTGTGCTGAGAGGTTGGGGGGGAGTACACGCCCTGAGGCCTTTCTCCTGCTCCTGGGCCCAGCGTGAGCCCGGGACCCCGAGTCCGCCCAGGACCTGTCCACCGGGTCCACCTTGCCCCTAAAGCTTCCTGCCTCAGTTTGAAAACAAGCCCTCATGGTATGGGAGGGCGGGTGGGTGCTGGGCTGGCCCCTCTCCAGGCGGATTCCCAGGTAAGGATCCGTGAGCCTTTGTTTGAAGCCGGAAAGGACACGCCCAGAGGCAGGTGTGCGGTTAGATTGGGGTGTTCCTGACAGCCACTCCAACAGAGAGAAGGGGTGTGATCCTGTTTCTCCTCCTCACCAGGCCCTGGGAATAAACCAGACACTCTTGATGGCTCAGGAGCAACAGCCCCCGTTTCTCCTCTCGTTTTGGACCGAGAGCTGCCACCCAGAGCACCTGCCTGCACTCGCTCCAACCACACGGGTGGCCTCTCTGCTCCCCATGCGACCTCCTGCCCCACACGCCACCAGATGTCCACCCAGCCAGCCCCTCAGATGGCTCAGCACTTGGCAGCGGGCCTCCCCGCCGGGCATTGCAGCCACCACTCTGGCTCACACCAGCAGTGCCGCCTCCTCCCCTCACTCCACCTCCTGTGGGTCTGGGGCCCTTGCTCCTGCGTCCCCGCCTTCCTGTCCCAGGCCAGCCGCGGGGCTTGCTAAATGGAAGAGCTCTGCCCCACAGCACGGCCCTCCTGAGTGACATGTGGCTTTTGTAAGGCAGCCCCCAAGAGGGCGCACCAGAGACTCAATCCCAGACCCTCTAGCCTTCCCATGGAAGTGCGTCCCGCTGGGAAAACCACCAGTTCTTGCTTTTTGTTTTCTTTTTCAATTGTTGTACTTTTGTGAATATTTAATACACCCTTTTCAGTGACTGAATTGTGTTGCGTGCTCATTTTTAATCAAAGAGAAAAAGAGTTAAAACCCTTCTCATTCATTCCCGGCCCCCCCCCGCCCGCAGTGCCTCCTGTTCCTCCAGCACCAGGCATGGCCCGCTCAGCCCTTTGACAGGCCGCGGCCTCTGCCCGGGACACACGTGGACCCGCGGCTCTGCTCCCTCACGTCCTTTACGTCTCTGCCCCAGTGTCCCCTTCTCAGAGAGACCTTTGTCATGAATGGCCTCTCCTCACCCCTCCTCTCTCTCCTCACCCCTGCTTCCTGCTGTTTCCTCCTCCTGCCCGACATGGATGCCGTCCGTCTCCCCCAGAGAACCTGGCACAGGGGCCAGGACTCTGCTGCTCGCTGCACTGCCCCGTCCTCTGCCATAACGGCTCCTGGCCGCCTGGCAGGTGCTCCGTCAGTGGCAGCTGGATGGACGGACTCCTCTGTTCGGTGAATCTACATCGAGGACTGTCCTGGGCTGGCATGAGGGAACCAGGAGAAGGTGGGCTCAGGGAGCGGTGATACGGTAATCACTGAGTGCCGTGCCGCCCTTGGCATGTCTCCCTCTGCCGCCCTGAGTTAACGCTGGCAGGAATCTCAGCCCACCTGAGGAAGACGGCATCGGGCTTAGGGCATGTGACCAGCAGGGAGGCGGGGCTGGCGCTGGCACTGTCTGTCTAAGGCCTGGTGCTTAACCTCTCCCCAAACTCCCCAAAGACGGGAGCCTCACTTCCGCTGTGAAATAAATGTGGGGGGGAGGGGGTGTCTGATGTGCGGCTTCTCCCTGGGCGGCTGGAGCTGGAGGGGGAGACGGGAGGTGGATGGGCAGGGGTGGGAACACAGGTGCCGGGGCCTTCCCCTCGGTGATAGTCTGTGGAGGGCTGTGTCACCAAGACCTTGTCACTGACGGAGCACGGCGTTGGGAACTTTATAAATCACTGCGCGTTGGAGCCAGGCTTGCGTAACTCTGGCTCGGGAGGAAGAGTTGGGGCTGCAGGGCCGCCCTTGGGGGATCTCAGGGCCGGGACCACGGCCCCCACAGGATCTGGCGAGAGCAGGGATGCTTCTTGGGCTCGGGCAGCAGTCACGGGGCCCTGGCTCCTCCGTCTCCCTCGTCCCCACGGCTCCCCCGTCCACGCTCCTCCCACGTTGGAGCGAAGTGCTGGGGAGTTTCCCGGCTGCTGGACCCAGCTGCACAGACGGTGCCTGGGAGCGGGCGGCCGGCCCGGAGCCGGCCCAGCACCGGAGCAGGGGAAGCTCCGGATCCGCTGGGGGCCGAGGCCGGTGCTGCGGGTGCTGGCTGTTGACCCTGCTCAGGTGCCGGCGAGTAGCCTTCCCAGCAGAGAAGGGCATTTGTAGGGGCAGAGGTTGGGTTAGGGACTGACCGTCTGCTTTTCGGTGCCCCTCCCCCCTCTTTCCCCTGTATATGCAAGACATGTCACTGTGAAGACTTAGACATGCCCAGAAGAGGGAACAGTCGAATCGACCTCTGCATACCCGTCTTCAGTCATCCACCCGTCCTTTTTGTCTTTTTCTTCTTTTCTGAATTGTTTTAAAACCAATCCCCAAATCAGGCCCATTCGCCCCTCCATTCTCCAGTGTGCATCCATTAAAAAACATGGGCATTTCCTGGCATAACCATAGCATCTTGTCACATTTAATGGAAACGTTGTAAAAACACATTTAAACAAGCAGTTCCTCATGTCATCTCCCGCCCAGTCCATCCTCACGTGGACATTTCACAAATGGCTCCCTCACAGCAGGCTCACAGCGTTCCAGGA